TTCGCAATATTCCTGTTATGCAACAGCCTGCGCAGCCCTTGGTGAAGCGAGCGACGGCCGAGCCGGTATAACGTTTGATAATGATATTATGAGGAGCAGGTGGCAGAGTTTGATGGCAGACCTCGCCAACCTGCCTCTTTTTTCTTCCGGCTTCGGCCCGACAAAGGCGGCATTTAGGACCGGTATAAGTTGATTTTTTACTTACATTAAGATCGAATGAGCAAATATGATACAGACGTTATCCATTAATTCGAATCATCTTGACAGTTCGTAACTGGAATCAAATTTGCGGCGTACCCATATAACACATGCGAATAAATAAATACAAAAACATTTTGTGCTTACGGATCAGATATATCCGCTGGTGTTCGAAGTATTTTTAGCGGAGCAATCAAATAGTGCGGTTTGTTGCCAATTCACTGGAGGTGCTAAAATGCTATGGAGCCGTGGCCTGCTTTATCGGTGCTTTAGGCAATACAAGCAAGGGGGCGGTGGGACTACGCTGTTCAAATCCGCAGAAATGACAAGAGCTTGTTTTCGCTGCCGGTGATATTGAAAACTAGAAAGTGAATATAAGCAGTAACATATTACTTTGAAATATTTTTTTCATTTATAACCTGCTTCATCTGCCATGCTCACCATGATTTATACTGTAGGATTTGCGGCAAAAGACGAAGGAACACTGGCAGAAACAATCAACTTTTTACAGAGTAAACATTGCCCTGGGCTCCCTTTTTTTCCGTAACAGTGCTGATCTGCCGAGTACTTCAGTTTCTAAAATGACTTTGAAAAAGTAAACTGAAACGCAAATTTAATTACTGTTTTAAATGAATTCGTTTTCGCACAAATTAGTTTTCGATGACTGTTTATAATATGTAATGAGTACATAACTGATAACAGTCCAACATTAAAATTTGTAGGGTTTACTGCACTGGAATCAAATGTTTGTCTAACTTTCAAATGAGCCAACTGGAGTTGGGTTCAGTATCATCTTCAAACGTAATAAGCTCCATTTGTATTTCATATTGAATCTTATTTAGCATACAGACTTCATAAATTTGGAATTAATCACGCCTTACGCAATCCGACAATTTTTCTGGACCCTGGAATTTTCAATTAACCATCGGAGAAACATTTGCGATCCTCCACTAATTAGGAAACAACATTTATTACATACCAAATGCGGTAAAACGCATTCTGGAAGGCACACTACACAAGAGTAAGCACAAAGGTAGGTATCACAGAGAAATCAAGTCTTCAAAGGCGAAAAAATTACTGCACAGCTGACCAGACGTGTCCGAAACGCTAAGTGGACAGCAGGCGATTGACACAACTTTCCAAATCGTCAAAGTCGGCGGAGTTGCCGTTGCCCGCTTGGGCACGAAACAGTCTGTCCCTGTCATTGTTGGACCCAATCGGAACAGCAACATGACCTTTTCGGCGAACTTTGATCTGTCGTCCGGAGTAAGTGCTTGACTTTTCATCACTCAACCGTTCCTCACCAACTCTGACACTAGTTTCCCTGACGGATGTCAGCTTTGATCGGCCATCAAGCAGTGCAGAATTTTTCGAACGGCCTGTGAAAAACAATATTAGCTCTTTAAAGAACACCGACCTGCATTGTTCTTCAATGAACAATAAGCATACTTTTTTTCGAGCGAGTCGGGAAAGCCTGGCCCGAATTCAAATACTCGAACAAACTGTCCATCACTCCTTCTTGATTAGCTGAAACACTCAACGTATGTTAGCAAAAGCCAATTAATCGCAACAAATTTACATATGGTTATGTCAAGGAATTTCTTCTTCTGTTCTATTCGTTCTTGCTTTTCCTTCTCAGCCTCCTTTCGAGCTTGTTCTGCCCGCTTCGCTTTTCTTTCCGCGTCATTGCGCTGTGCGTTTTCAATCAAAGCTTTCTAAACAAACAGAAACCTGAAACTAATATTCCGGATCAAAAACCATTTCGTTCTTAACCTCGTAGGCATCCTTAAACACCTTTAAGTCACCGAAAAACTCATCGACCCCGTATTTCTTGGCGTCGAAAGCAAAGTAATGCGCCAGTTGCGAAAATGAGTCCTCCATCTTGTTGTACATGCTTTGTAGCAGGTCGGTCTGCTCCTGGGCGACGGTCAGAAACTCACCCATCACCGTACCGAACTTGTCGTGCTCATTCTGCGGCTTGAACGTGCGCATCGTCGTCTCCAGCTGCAAACTAACAGTTGAGAAAAAGTGACATTCATCGACGAAAGATGCTTCGCTCTTGACCCTGCACACTTACAGCCTTTGTGGTACTTCGCATTTCCCGTAGACTCTTATCAAGCAGATCCGGGGTCACCGACGCGGCGAAAGGGGTATGAATAAAATCTTCCGTAAACTTGCACAGCTTCGGGTACCGCTTCTCCATCGTTTCAGCAATATATTGCAACAAGGTCCGTCTACCATCGGCAGATTTGATTTCACCGAGCTGAAAAACAGCTTGGCGATAAATCATCAAATATAACACTAACGTTTCTGCATAGTGCAAATTAAACATACAATGGAACCTCCATCTATCGATCACTTCGTAGAGTCCCAAAAACGCCTCACAAAAATAGTGTTTAACCAAAAGCGTTTCTGATTCTGAATATCAAACAGAAATTGAACATCTACAAAATTTCTTATATAAAAACGGTTACATTAACAAAGTTATAAAAAGACATTAAGCGAAGCCCGTTCTTAACGTTAAATCAAAGCTCAAGAATAAGAAAAACCTAAGCAGTCATCCTTTATTCCAAACTTTCTAATAAAATCAAAAAGTACTGACAACGAAGCTTTTCGAATTTAGTACAAAAGCAGAAGTTCATTTGAATCGCAGTTGTATGAGGCTTATGCGGAATTCGACCCTTTTTTTCTCAATTTTTGCAATCGAAGGTACAGAAGTTATCTTTGAAATTGCACTGAAGGAAGCACTCCATTCTTCATCCTCCACCGCTTCTCCAGCAAACTCACTGTTTCGTGTAAAATCTTTCTGTTCGCTCTCTTTCTGATGTTTCGTCTGACTATGCAGCGCATCAGTTTCTCAGCGAGCTTTTGTAGTTGTTTTTGATGCCGATGCCTTTCAGGCTCCAGCATTCGCTGGAAATGCACGCTTGGCCACCGCCTCGTCGAATACCTTTGGCTGTTGTACGCAATTTGCCATTTGCAGTGCCTTCGTCCCTGCATCGTTTCGAAGATTTGCCTGGTCCGCACTAATCTGTGGTGACTGTCGGTGTTCAATGATAGCCCTACTGCTATGGCTTGGATGAAGCGTCGTTTATCTAACAGAACTAAGTCGATCTCGTTCTTCGATTATTTGTTAGGTGTCATCAGTGTTCAAATCCTGATGGTCTTTTCCTGAACAAAGTGTTACAAATGTACAGGTACCTCGTTTCTGCCATGGTCACCAGCCGATCTCCCCACTCATTTTGCTCAGCTTTGCCTAACCTAAGAACAAACATTTCACCTGCCTTTCCTCGTCTGACCTTGGCCGCGAAGTCTATCATGACAAGGTATACGTTGACCTTCTAAGTAATCACTGTTCCAGTTCTTGATAGGATTCTTTCACTTCGTCGCTGATTGTACCTCTGGGAAAACAGGTTTGGATGATCTCAAAGAACATCCTCATATTCAGTTGAAGGTACAGCACACCCAGCCGTAGTGAAGTTACATGATAAGAGACGGTTCTGGGGGACCAGCTTTTGCTGACTACAAATCTGATTCCTCCTGTTTTTTGCGCCATTTCCACTTCCTAGCCAAATCGAACAACCGTCTTTCGAGATGTCATTCATCTCCTTTTGCCGTCGTGTCTTGAAGGACATCCCTGAACTTTCCTTCATTAGAAAATCTAAAGTTTCTTCACTTGCAGGTGCAAACGGCGAGGAAAATTCGGTTCGAAATAGCGGGCTTTTACCTGGGATTCTTAGCAGCATCCTACTGGTGAAATATGAAGAGCTGTCGCTGAAAGAATCAAAAGACGCGTAGGTCACTGAGGTCCATTTATTGGTTATCATAGTGCATGAAGTTTTGCCATCAGCGGGCAGGGTTGACGGTAGCCTGAGGAATTTCGCGTAGACAGGCTTGCCAATTTTGTCCGTCTTTATCGAGATTTTATCTTCTAGCCTTTGACGAACTGACGTCTTACTGCAAGTCAGCTAGACATTGTAGGCCCTTTTTCTTCAAAAATTCAGGTCGCTCTTGCCTCGTGTCATTGGACACTGTGATTTTTGTTTGAGGATATGACTTGTCGA